GGTGGGGCGCTCGGCCTCCAGAAACGGGAGAGCCCTGAGGGGAGCCAATCGGAGCCTCGTGGAATGGCATAGCACGACATAGCTATGGCCCATGGGTGATAATTAAAGCTCTGGGTGATAAGACGATAAGACGATAAGACGATAAGACCATAACTCTTATCGGCTTATCGTCTTATCGTCTTATCGTCTGGCGGGACCATATATCGTCTTATCGTCTGGCGGGTCTCGTCTTATCGCCTGGCGGGTCTCTATATCACCTTATCGTCTTATCGTCTTATACCGTCTTATCGTCTTACCGTCTTATCGTGTTATCGCCTGGCTTTGAAATAGCAAGCCCTGTTTTCCACCACAATGTATATATATATATATATATATGTATATATATATACGTATAGTTGCATAAACTAGAAAAACATAACCAAACATGTTTTTGGGTAAAGGCGATGAGCGGGCATAGGCTGTAAAACGGTTGCGTTCCAGTCAGGTCCTCCTCCTCTCGGCGGCGCGCGCGCGGAGACTGGCGCGAGGGGGGGCGGCCTTCCGAGACGGCGTGGGGGGGGGGGCGTGCGAGAGAGGGGGCTTGCTTAAAACCCCCCCCCAGCCCCAGAGGAAGCCGCCTCCTGAAAATCTTCGGGGCATTCCACTCGTCTCCTCAGAAGGCCAGCTCCCTCCTCCTCCTCCTCCTCCTCCTTCTTAGCACTCGCCTCCTCTTTTCGTCCTCGCCCTCTTCCTTCTTCTGTTCCTTCCTCCTCTTTTCTTGCTTCTTCTGCTTCCTCTGGCTTGTTGTCTTCTCGTTATCTCTGCCCCCCTCCCCCTCAGGACGCCCAGGCCCCAGACCCCCGACGTAATGATTTTTTCATTACGTCGACCCCCACAGGTCCCGACCCGTTCCCCATGACCGGCTTTGCATCCCGAGTCGGTTTTTGACGCCCCCGAGGCCCGGTGAGGGCCCCCGGAGGCCGAAAATTAGGAAAAACCTCCTGTCATGATTTTTTCATTACTCGAGGGGGTCTGGGGCTGCTCTGGGACGCCTCCGGCAGGCCGGGCGCCGCCCCGCCTGCCCCGGCCCCCCCTTGTGTGGCCGTCGAGGGCGCCGCCCGCTCGCCGCGCGCGCGGCCGCGGAGGGGGCCTTCCTTTCCTCCGCGGCGCGCCCGAGGGCGGCGTGCATGGGCGACGCCGTGTAGGGGCGGCGTGGATGGGCGGCGCCGCGTGCGGGCGACGCCCCGCCGCAGACGCCGCCCGACGGGGGGCCTCCCGCTGCTGCTGGTGCTGCCCACGGCCGACTCGGCGCTGGATCCCGAGGCCGCTCCCCGGCCCCACCCCCCCCCAAAGCGGGGAGGCGGGGCCCGGCGGCTGCCCCGGGAGGGGCCGGGGGAGAGCAACGCGGCGGGGGGACGACGCGGGGGGGGGGGGCCAGCCCTGACCTTCCAGGAGGGCTAACAAAATAGCACCCGACCTAAAAACCTATCCCAGAGCTATTCTACGTCTTGGTTTTAGGCTGTTTCGTTGGGTTTTTGTTAGGTTATCAGGCCTCCAGTGCTAAAAAACAGCTCCCTGGAAGGCCAAGGAGGGAGGGAGAGCACTGGGGCCTCCTCCTCCGCCTCCTCCTCGCCCTGCTCGCCCTCCTCGTGCCCTCGCTGCCCGAAGGCAGGGCAGGCCAGGCCGCCGCCCGCGCCTGCCCATATGGGGGCGCCTCGGGAAGTGCGCGTCGCCGTGCGCCGGCGCGCGGAGGAAGCGGGGCGTGTGCGCGCCGCGGCGGTGGTTCCGGGAGGCTGCGCGCAGGCAGTCCGCCAAACTCGCGACGAGCAGCACCCCAAGGACCAAACGCGAGACGTAAAGCAGGGCTAGGATCGGGATAGATCGCTCCAGAGCGTTCCCGAGCGCTCTCAGAGCGTTCCGGAACGCTCTGGAGCGGCCGCGGCGCCCAATACATCCTCCAAGCCCGCCGATTCTCAGAGATTTCGAGTTATCCCGATCCGATGTTGTCCCGATCTTCGCGTCGTTTCAAGACGCCCCCCCGGACTTCCAGGAACCTGCGCACGACCGCGCCCAAGCAGACCGGGGGAAGCCAATCCTGCGGACGCCCGCCGACAACGCGGACGACAGCTGACGAACCTCCTGCAGTGCAGTGGGGAGACCCGTGGAGGCCGAGGTATTGGTCCGCGTGCACGGACGATGCGAACACGATGAAACAAAATAGAACGCCGGGGAATCGCCGATGGGACTGCTGCTCCGTGGCTACAGGAGAGTGTGACTCCGACTGCAACGCCAGCGCGCAGTAGCCCATGGCTCCAGAGACCCGGAGGTACCTCGATTGAGAACGCACCGAGCACAGGACGAATGCAGAAGCCATGCACGAAGGCAAAATCCGCCACGCCGCCGCCGCGCCCATGCGAAAGTGCTGCACGGCCCGGTGCACGGATGGCCGGCACATCCTGCTCTCGCCGTTGCAGGTGAAAGAGCGGCCTCGACGTGCAACACGAAGAGCGCACCCGAGAACTTGACCTTGAGTGACTGCATCTGCAAACGAAGGGAAGCACTAATTGCGTTACCAGTGGCACAGCCACCCAAGTGTGAAGAAATGCATGTGCGGGATACTCCTGCAGCCAGATCACCCGGCGTTCACTGGCGAAGACCGTCCCGAAGAAGGCGAGTATCGACCGGCGCTCAAGTCTGCACACGTATGGTTCAGCCCCGGGGCACCTCGCCCATGCCGCTAGCTCACTCGAGCCTGACAGGCTTGGGCCGAGTCCTCCTCCTCCTCCTCCTTCTCCTCCTCCTCCTCCTCCGCCCTCCTCCTCCTCTCCCTCCTCCTAGCTCTTCCTCCACTTCCTCCTCCTCCTCCTCCTCCTCCTACTCTTCCTGCCCTTCCTCCTCCTCCTCCTCCTCCTCCTCCTCCTCCTCCTCCTCCTCCTCCTCCTCCTCCTCCTCCACTAAGGCGAAGCGAAGACGAGGACAACATCGGGCGAGGAAAAAAGTCGAGAACCCCGGAGGTCCCGAGGCTCTGGAGGATGTCTCGGGTGCCGCGGCCTTCTCAGAGCGCTCCGGCACGTTCTTAGAGCGTTTCGGAACGCTCTGGAGCGGTTTTATCCTCGTCCTTAGAGGCCTCTTAGATGGGGTCCGCCGCATCGCCAATACATCGACGATGCATCGGCGATGCACGGGCGATGAATCGTCGACGTGGGCGATGCATCGGCGACGTCGACGTGAAGCAAATCGGGCTCCGCATCGAGCCGCATCGGCGATGCATCGGCGATGCGGCGCGATCCTCCGACCCCATCTAGGAGGCCTAGAGTCCTAGCCCCCTCCGCTCCATCCACCTCATTGGATCGACCAGACAGCGACCCCGCCCAGAGCGGACACCCCGAGGCCACCTGACGTCCACTGCTGCTGGGCACGTGTGACCTCCGCTACACCAGGTGGACCTCGCTCGTCCAGACGCTGGCGACGACTCTGGCCTGGAGTGGGCACCCCTAGGTCACCCGATGTCGCGCCCTCGCGCCCTGCGATGCGCGCGTCTCTTCCTCGCCGTCGCTCGGACCTCCACTTCCGGTGCCTGTTTTTTTCGGTCTCGTGCTTGCTATTCTCTTCTTTCCTTTGCTTGTCTCGGTCTCGTGTGTGTTTTATTCTTGCTTGAGGATCCAGGACGCTCCTTTAGGGCGCCTCGCCGAGAAAACATGCTCACGTCCGAGCGGTGCCAAGCCTTGCGCCCTGGCGCCGTCCACTCGGAGAGGGACCGCCGCGCGGGCCCGCGACGCGCGACGCGCGCCGAACCGTTGGAGCCTCGCGCCCGCGCGGGCGACCCCGAAGGGGCGCCTGTACAGTGCGGCGTCGCGGCTTCGTCAGGCCGTGGGCCCCATGGCTCTCGACCCGATGCCGGGGGACAATCTCCACCACAAAGGGTAGTACTCAGACCCCCCCCAATAAGGAGGAGGAGGAGGCGGAGGAGGAGGAGGAGGAGGAGGAGGAGGAGGAGGAGGAGGAGGAGGAGGAGGAGTAGGAGGAGGGGGAGTGGGGTGGCGGGAGAGGAGGAGGAGGAGGAGGAGGGAGGAGGAGGAGGAGGAGGGGGAGGGGGGAGGAGGAGGAGGAGGAGGAGGAGGAGGAGGAGGAGGAGGAGGAGAAGGTTTGAGGACCAGTCCTATTCACCGCCGCGTGAAGAGGGGGGAGGGAATCAAAACCGAAGAGCTCATGCGGCAGAACATCAGGGTGCCCTCCCCGAGCCGACCTCGATCTTGTGCCCCGGTCTAGCTGCGTCGCGGACCGCTGCTCTTGACGGTCGCGGCGGGGCTCTGGCACTTTTTTTGTTGACGGTTTTTCTCCTGACGGCCCGCAGAGGACCAGGCGGAGGAGAAGCGCGGGGATCGAGCAACTGATCCGCCAGATGCGAACGAAATCTCCGGAAGACTCTGGAGACCAGCAGCGGGCGAACCATTGCCCCCAAGCACGACAAGTCTTCGTCGCATCGTTCTCAAGTCGTTTCGTCCTCACTTCGGCCCTCGCCATCCTCTAGATTCGGATATGCTGCGCAAATTCGGATATGCTGCGCAGTAAGCCTCCGCAAATGGTGCGGACATTTCTCGCGCTCCAGTCGGAATCATTGTCGTTGTCGTCGCCGTCGTTGTTGCCGTTGCCGTCGTGAGGTCGTCAAGGCCCTCATCGTCGTGGTCGTAGTCGTCGTCATCATCGTCGTCGGTGTCGTCGTCGGACGACGACGACGAGCGGCCACTGCGACCAGGGCACAGGCAGGGCCGCGCCAGTAGCCCGTCCTCCGACGGAGTCGCAGGTGCTGCGCGCCTCTCTGTGTCTGCGGTGGCAGCATCCTCCCACCCCTCTGCTTCTACGACGGCAAGACGACCGTTGCCCTTTTAGTTCCAGTGGCCAAAAAAGCTCTCAACAGACTTGCGGCAACAAGCGCGGCATCGTGAAGCAAATCGCGCCTGAACTTGGGCACCTGGCATATAACATTAAGCACCCCACTGGAGTGTGCCAACTTCATAAATACGTGGCATAGATGGTCGGGTGACTGTCAGCGTCCCACCCGGCACAGAGGATAGGTGCGGTGGATTGGGGACTTGTGTCAAGCAGCAATGTGGGTAGGAGGAGTAAGAAATGTTCGCCAACCTACAAACTAAATTTGATCGATCACAACCATCGTGTTGTCATCTGTAAGGGACGCATGATAAGGAGCGAAGGGTTTTCTGGCCACGGGGGGTCCAGGCCACAAACGATTTCCACAACATAAATCCGCCAACCCTTCGGCATGTGGGAGACGCTGTCGTCGTTGTTGTCGTTGGCACTCCTAAGGAAATGGAGGAACAAGGAGGGGTGCGTCGTAGTTAAGACGAAGGGAGGCCCCCTCCCTTTATCCCTTCCGTGTCGGGGGGGGGCCCTTTCCTGTCGGGGGGGGGGGGCGGAGGAGGAGGAGGAGGAGGAGGAGGAGGAGGAGGAGGAGGAAGGAGGAGGAGGAGGAGGAGGAGGAGGAGGAGGAGGAGGAGGAGGAGGAGGAGGAGGAGGAGGGGGGGGAAGGGGTCCTGGGTCAGAACGGGATTGCGCCCGCCCGGGGTCTCAGCGGGATCTGGGGGGGGTCGCCAGCGGGGGTCCCGGGGGAGGCCCCGCCTTCAAGATCGGCGGCACCGGCCGCAAGGCCTTCGCAGTCTGAGGAACGGCCCGAGAATCCGAATCCCTCCTGAGCCTAAAGCTGTACCTCTCTCAGCGTCTTGACTGTAGCATGAATGCGTCCACAATGGCGTCCACCACCGCCCAAGTAAGTAAACGGCGCATCATTCCGTTGCTACCTTGACACGCAAACTCGATGGAAACACATGCACGCTGGCAGAAGATAACAGTACCCGACGCCATCGAACGCCAAGTAATCGAGGACATCGGGGAACACAGGGACCGTTTAATCAACAGCGAAGCCTATTTTGGGCTTCAGTTGCGCCCAGATTCACGGGGAATTTCCAAAGAAGACCCATGGAAGGAAGGGCCTAAAGGGCATCGAGCCCCTTTCGAAACAAAAGTAAACGTCCCCCCGTGCGTGCACCATCAGAACAATACCTACTTGTATGCGCGCGTTCGTGTGTAATTTCGCCGGCTCAATGAGCCAAAGGAGTGCTGAGATCTCAAGTGGCTATTTCTGATTCTGCTAATTCGCGAAAGCGTGGCGGCATTTTGGGGCCCCGGGTCGCCCGGTCACGGATGCCAAACTCCTGGGGGCGGTCCAGCCTTCGAAATCGCCCTAGGACCGCCCCAAAGGACCCCAAGGGAGCTTCAAGAGGGGCCAGGAACCAGGCGCAGTGGCCGCGGGAGGCTCCAAAGATGGCCCGAGGACGTTCCCCAGGAGGCCTCGGTGCCCCAAGGTGGTCCCAGACAGTCCCAAGAGAGCTGCCAGAGGCACAATTCATGAGATTACATTGGCGTTCGAAGGATTTTGACGTTGGACCCGTTTCGGAGCTTCCGACTGGAGCGCGTTTCTTCATTCTCGGCGATGGGGGGCATTGTAGGGGGGGTGGGGGTGGGCGGCAGTCCCCCCCCCGCCGTGCGCACGGCGGCAGTGCCCGGAGCGCACTCGGGGAGGGGCGTTACGGGATAGGGGGGGGGAGGGGGGGGGCCGGGGGCGGTGGTGCCCATCGTGCCCTCGGAAGAGAGGCCGACACCGACTGACTACCTACCAGACCACCCCAACTCAACCCGAAGGCACGAATTTGACCCGAATTTCGGGTTGGGGGGGTATGGGGACCATGTGTTTTTTCGACGTTCCCCGATCCCCCCCCACTGGAAATGGAGGGCAAGTTGAGGCCTTCGGGTTGGGTTGGGGTGGTTTGGTGGGTGGTGACCGACAGAATTGGGGCAACATGGTGATGAACAATTGTTTGCGTGTGGCCGGCTCCGCCGCTCGCCTTGCCGATTACTTCCGCCTGGAGGGCGGTGCAGCGCGAGCTTGGGCGTCGGCCGTGCGATCTTGGTACATGTAGTGCATTTTTCCCATCTCTGCTTGCGCACCGTCTGGTGCAAGGCTTCTGACTGACTGACATGCCCCAAGCCATAAAGAAACGCACTCTCTCGAGCTTCCGATTGCCGCAGGCGGCCCAGAAGCTGCAGCATCGGCCCCGGACAGCCCAGAAGGCCCCCGGGACGGCCCGGACACGGCCCACGAAGGCCCCCGGTACGGCACGGGGAGAGGCCCCCCCCCCCCTCCTCGAGGGCCCCAGAGGCCACCAAGAGGCCCCAAGAAAGGGGAGTCCGAACTCACATGTCCCGAGGCCGCGCCCACGGCGTGCTTGGTTGACGGTGCGGTTGGGAATATGGTTCGTGACACCGATTTCACCCAGAACAAGATGCAGGAAAGCACGAAGCACCGTTTCCTACATTTCTCGGATACGCGAATGTGTCGAGCGACAACGACACAGCGAGATGTAGGAAAGCACGAACCACGCGTTCCTACAATTGGTTTGGCCACGGATCACGCCTTTCTACAATTGGGTTTCCTACATCGCCGTTAACCAACACACCGTTCGCGCGTCTATGGATGTCGGGCCTTTCCGCCAAAAATGGCCTCCGAGACTGCCAGGAGACTGGTATGTATGAATTCCCGGGGAGCCCCTATCGGAAAGCCACCCAAGTGACCCCTCGAATGATGCTGGCTCTGCCCTGCAACTCAGCGTGCTCACAGAACTTGCGCAGCGTGTGTGCCTCGGGGCCCTCCCTGCGCGTGGCCGACATGCATCGATGTCACCCAGACGAGGTCCGAGCAGATGGGGTCGGAGGATCGTGCCACATCGCCGACGCGCTGGCGACGTCGGCGATGCACTGGCGCCGTCGGCGTGGAGGAGCTCGAGCTCCACGTCCGGCCGCATCGCCGACGCACTGGCGACGCGGCGCGAGCCTCCCGCCCCGTCTGCTCGCACCCCACCTGTCGAGGATCCTCGGCATGCGTGTTGGCGCCACGGTGTGCTGGTCCACCATGGCCCTTCCTGGCCATCGCTCGGACGTCCATCCCCTGTGCTTTTTTTCGGTTTCGCGCGTGGCTTTTTCGCCGAAGGATCAAAGGATGCTCCTCGACGGCCCTCGCCGAAGGAAAAGTGCACCCCCGTCCGAGCGATGCCAAGGGTGGTGGGCAGGGGGATGGGCACGTGGATAGGAATCGGTCAACCGATACTGTAGGTCAAGTCGGAGGACTGAGGTCGGGGCGTTGCGATTCTTTCACCGGGCACTTTCAGCCAACTTCGGGCCCCGGGATCCTCACATGAGGATCTGGTCTGAAAAGCGCTGCAGGAAGGCGGGGGGCCTAGGGCTCTGGTCGTGATTTCTCACGGTGCTGCCGCCTTTTTCGCAACGTCGGATCTCAGGGGCAACCTCGTGTGAGCCCTGCGCAAGCAGGTCAGATCTCAGAATGACCGGCTGGGGCTCAGAATTGGAAGAATGCGTGCAGCCACGTGAACCCCTGGGGTCAGACACAGTCAGCATCGAATCGGGAACTCGGATCGGACCGGAACGTGTATCGCATCTGACCGCGTCGGCTTGGAGTCGGAATCGAATCGAGCGAGCGCCCGTCCGAGCGAGCGACCGCTTCGCCGAAGGAAAAGGGCACCCGTCCGAGCGATGCCAAGCTTCCTTGCGCCGCAGGCGGTCCAGAGGGAGGGGAACGGGCTGCGTGTCGCGGGCTGAGCTGCACGGGGCAGCACGCACGCACGCACGCACGCACGCACGCACGCACGCACGCACGCACGCACGCACGCACGCACGCACGCACGCACGCACGCACGCACGCACGCACGCACGCACGCACGCACGCACGCACGCACGCACGCACGCACGCACGCACGCACGCACGCACGCACGCACGCACGCACGCACGCACGCACGCACGCACGCACGCACGCACGCACGCACGCACGCACGCACGCACGCACGCACGCACGCACGCACGCACGCACGCACGCACGCACGCACGCACGCACGCACGCACGCACGCACGCACGACACACGCACGCACGCACGCACGCACGCACGCACGCACGCACGCACGCACGCACGCACGCACGCACGCACGCACACACACACACACACACACACACACACACACACACACACACCACACACACACACACACACACACACACACACACACACACACACACACACACACACACACACACACACACACACACACACACACACACACACACACACACACACACACACACACACACACACACACACACACACACACACACACTACACACACACTACACACACTACACACACTACACACATGCACACACGCGCACACACACACACTGGGCGAACACGCGTCCTGAGGACCATCGAATCTGGAAGGCCCAGGGTATGAGCTCCTGGGCGCCCGCGGACGCCCCCGCCGCCGACACAGGGCCGCATCCCAAGGACCCCACTGGGCCATTCAGGATGCCCTGAAGCTGCTTCATTTCTGACCCTAACCCTAACTCTAACCCTAATCCACTCCTGACACATTTGCAGTGCGCTTCTCATGTGATGGGCTTACCTCCAGCAGGGAAGAGGTAAGACACAGGAGCCGCATCGCCGATACATCGACGATGCATCGTCGACGTGGGCCACGCATCGGCGACGTCGACGTGAAGCAAATCGATCTCCGCATCGAGCCACATCGCCGATGCATCTGCGATGCGGTGCGATCCTCCGACCCCATCTGCTCCGACCCTCTCTGGGAGCACCACAGACGGGCCGCTGAACGAAGGAGCGCTAAACAAGGAACGAAGCCCCTTCTTGGCCTTGTGCGCGCCTCCGTGCCCCGGGAGGGCAAGAGGAGAAGCACCGGAGGCACCTACAGAACATCGAGCCCCTGCCGAACCCAAACCGTTCCTTCTTTCGGCGTCTTGACTGTCAATGGGGCAGAAGACAGGGAGCGGGGGACACAGCGCTGGCGGGCAGAACGCACCCTTCGGGCGCCCCGAGGGGGAGTGTGCGTGCGGGCGGCTGCGCGCGAGCCCTTCCCCTGCGGAGCATCGTCTGACCGATCCCCGGGCCCCACTGGCCGACGGGGATGCAGGCTGCTCCCTGGAGGGTTCGAGGGGGCTATCCCCAACTGGGGTGGTGGGGTGCTCGCCATCGCTCGGACGTCCATCCCCTGTGCTTTTTTTCGGTTTCGCGCGTGGCTTTTTCGCCGAAGGATCAAAGGATGCTCCTCGACGGCCCTCGCCGAAGGAAAAGTGCACACCCGTCCGAGCGATGCCAAGGGTGGTGGGCAGGGGGATGGGCACGTGGATAGGAATCGGTCAACCGATACTGTAGGTCAAGTCGGAGGACTGAGGTCGGGGCGTTGCGATTCTTTCACCGGGCATGTTCAGCCAACTTCCGGCCCCGGGATCCTCACATGAGGATCTGGTCTGAAAAGCGCTGCAGGAAGGCGGGGGGCCTAGGGCTCTGGTCGTGATTTCTCACGGTGCTGCCGCCTTTTTCGCAACGTCGGATCTCAGGGGCAACCTCGTGTGAGCCCTGCGCAAGCAGGTCAGATCTCAGAATGACCGGCTGGGGCTCAGAATTGGAAAAAAATGCGTGAGTTTTATCACCCGCAGAGGGAACCAGGGGGAGCGGTGGGGAGCAAAACTAAAGACCCTCAAGGCAAGACAGAGGACCCGGAGGACTCGCAGCGTGTGGTCCACCGGCTCCCCGCGGGCAAGACTGGAGGGCGACAACCATACGTACACGCCCGCACCGGTCCTAGCTGCGCCTGTCCCGGGCCCGGTTGTCGGCGTGTGTACCCTCGTCTCGCGGGAGGCAAGGAGGCATACCGACCCCGACCCTGGGCCGAGGACAGGCCTGGCCACGATCGGTGCAAGTGCACAGTCAACCCGTACTGTGGGGATGCGCGATGCGGATGCAGGGGCCCTGGACGCCTATTTCCGAGCTTCTCGGGCGGGGCGCGGGCCAACAGACGTGGCCAAGGATGGACCGAGGAGGCAAGGATGCAAAGGTACCCTTGGGCAGGTTGCCCCTCCTTGCTGTGCGGGTCAACTGCAGAGACGGCTCCCTCCGGCAGGCGGCGAATGCGCACGCCCCAGCGGTGCAGCGGTGCGCTGGCCAGCGGCCAGCCACGCGCCCAGCCTGGGGCCAGGCTAAAAGGTCGGCCGCACGGCGAGGTTGGCCGCGGAGGTCCTCTTCGTGCCGCTTGGCCGACAGGTCGACGGGGCGCCGCCCGTGAAACAAGCCCGGCAGGCCAGCCCCGCCAGCAAATCTGTGCGCCGCGCTGGTCGGCCAGGGTTCGAGTAGGAGGTCGACTACAGAATTGATTTACCCCTGAATTGATTTCCCGTTGAATCTGCGAGAAAATCGTAGGATGCTACGTAGATCTACCGAGCATTCTACATAATTTTAGTAGCTTCGATGAAGAAATGAATTTCGGGGTAAATCAATTCTGTAGTCGATCCACTATTCGAAGGGTCGGTGGCGTGGTCGAAAGCGAGGGTTAGCAAAAGGGGCCTGCTTGAACCATCCTGGAGGATGGTGAACGTTTTTTCTTCGGCGTTTCGACATCGGGCGGAGGGGGGGGGGAGGGGGTGGGGTCTGGCTCCAGACCTCTGCTTCGTGCGGCTGTTTGGAAGAGTGCGGCCTCTGGGGGAGGCTTTACCCGCTCGAAACAGGCGCCCAAAAACAGCCAGGATCTACTCCATGGGGGAAGGGGGGGAAGGGGGGGGGTTGGGGGGCCCGCGCCGATCGGCAAAGCAACGAATAAAAAACGACCACATGTTGATTTACTCTTCACATGTTCAAGCACTTATTTGCTGCTAGCCATCCTGGAGGCAAACAAAAACGGCACAAACACGAACTTCCAGAAGCCCGCGCGGATCTCGTCGATCTGCGCGGAGCCCCCCCTCCCTATCAGACGAGCGCGTTCCACTACTCGCAAAGTGACCACTCGCAAATGGCCTGGATCCGCCGCGGGGGACCTACGACAAATTATATCGAAACAGACATATGTTTTCCGGACGTTTCTCGGGACACACAAATGAAATACACACAAATCCGCCGGCCCCCTTGTTGGGCCACCAGCCTGTAGGCCGAAGCTTCGCAGTTTCCTGTACCAGTTGCAGCTTCCAGTTTCCACTGTTACAGTTCTGCTTCTTGCTGCTTACTGTTCCTTGTTGACTTCTCGCTGCTTACTGTTCCTTGTTGGTGGACCGCGCGAGGGGGGGAGGCCCCAAAATGGCATTTGTCCTACGCCCTGAGCGTATTGTATGAATTGCTGGGGTGGGTAAACATTTACACCCCTCACGCAGATCGGCGGGGTCAGGGTCCAAAAACATAAGGGATTTGCTACATTTCTGAAATCCGGCGGCACCCCTCACGCAGATCGGCGGGGTCAGGGTCCAAAAACACATTGGACTTGCCACATTTCTGAAATTTGCTGGCACCCCTCACACAGATCGGCGGGGTCATGGTCCAAAAACAAAAGGGATTTGCAAATTTCTGACATTCGGTGGCACCCCTCACGCAGATCGGCGGGGTCAGGGTGCAAAAACAAAGGGGATTTGCCACATTTTTGAAATTCGGCGGCACCCCTGACGCAGATCGGCGGGGTCAGGATCCAAAAACAAAGTGGAGTTGCCACATTTCTAAAATTCGGCGGCACCCCTCATGCAGATCGGCAGGGTCAGGGTCCAAAAACAAACGGGATTTGTCACATTTCTGAAATTCGGCGGCACCCCTCACGCAGATCGGCAGGGTCAGGATACAAAAACAAAGGGGATTTACCACATTTCTGAAATCCGGCGGCACCCCTCACGCAGATCCGTAGGGTCAGGGGATTTGCCACATTTCTGAAATCCGGCGGCACCCCTCACGCAGATCCGTATGGTCAGGGTCGAAAAACAAACAGGTCCCGACACTGCTTCACGGCGGCGCCCAGACCTCATGATTTGGCCTAGCTTTTGCATCTCCCACTATCCGAGAAAAGGGGGCCGGCGGCATGGGGCGAAGCCCTTGCGGATAACAGGTTTCCCCATATTTCCAATATTTCGGTGTTTCCGTCTGCCCCCCACACTTCCCATATTTTCCAATATTTTCGGGGGATCGACGATTAATCTTAAGTCGGGCGGGTCCACCCACAGGGGGATTTTCGACGAAGCATAAAACATACTCCACAAATGCTCTACAGGGTCAAAAAATGCTCGAACAATAGTCCCCAGACTATCTTTTCACTATTTCTGATTTTTCCCGTTGTAGAGGGACAGGCCCGACTTGAGATGACTTGTGTCTGTGTGCTTTTTCCCCGCCAGGCGTCCCTTTGCAAGCACTTCGGCATCGGCACCGCCTGTATCCGAGGCTATGCCTCCTCTCGGCCTCGCTCTGAGGCTCCGCCGCTTCCTCCCTCCTCTTCTCTGCCCAATTCAAGCTTCGCGCGGCCCGGTCAGCTTCGACCAGAAGAGGTGCGCTCTCGACCCGCGGATCAAAAGTGTTTTTTCCCCCCTGTAAAGGGACAGGCCCGACTTAAGATGAACTTTGTCTATACGGTTCCCCCTATGGACTCCTGGGTTCCGAAATTCCCCACCGTGGACCCCTCAATCTTCATAGATGATTTCATGTTGACAAGCAACAACACAAGCGTTCGCCTGTTGGTGTCGGACCTGGCGCAGGCCTCCGACAGCATGCTAGATTTAATCGAGGAGGACCTCGACTGCTCGGTCGCCTTGCACAAGGCTGCGGTGCTGGGCTCGTCCGCTGCACTACAGCATCGCCTGGCCAAAGCTCTAGGTAAGTACAGTGGACCAGAGGGAGTCAACCAAGCACAGTCTGCGCCAAACCTCGGAGCCGATTTCACCATGGGCAATAAGGTCTCGAAGAAGGCCCGCAAAACTCTGGCGAAGCGAACCTCCAAGATGAAACGTCGACTCCACCGCATGGCCCAGATTAGGCGAGCAGGTGCAAATATGCGGAAGATTTACCCGACAGGTTTGAAAGCAGCCGCCCACTATGGCGCCGAGGTCGTCGGCCTCACCAAGAACCCTGAGTTGCATGAAGCCCAGTCCCTCTACCTCAAGATTGTAGGGCCCCGCTGTGCTACAAGATCCAGGTCCCTGGCATTATCGATATTGGGGGGCCCGACGTGGAGTGCTGCCCTGGGGCCGGCCTGTTATTGGGCCAACCTGATCTGGAGAGTTGCTCATTATCCTGGTACGATCGGCTTTTCTCTGGTGGGACTCCGTGAACAAGCCCTCCAGGTCCTCCACAAGCCCCCATACGAAGTGGTACCAGATCCGAGGGCCCTTAGGGGCCACGATGCTCAGCCTGAGCAGTCTGGGGTGGTCCATGCCCGACCCGCTCGTCTTTCGAGACTCGCAAGGCCAGGACTACCCACTCATCACTACCTCCCCTGCCTTCATCAAGAAGCTGTTTCAATCCCAGTGGCAGTTGCAATTAGACGTGAAGGCGGAGCAGAAGCTCGGTTTCGACGAGCCCCTCGACCCGTCGGTCATGCAGCACGCGCTGCAGGATAGTACAGTGCTGGCCTATAAAAGGAAGACGCTGCTTTCATATAGCTGCCAGTGCATTTGGACCAAAGAAAAGATGGCCGAGGCAGGCTATCATAATGAAGTCGAATGCGAGCTGTGTAAGGGCCCCGTGGACTCCATCCCCCACAGGCTCCTCGAGTGCCCGCAGACCCGCAACCTGAGAGAGGAAATATTAAGTGAAGCAGATATCGAGGAGTTCAAGGACCCGAAAAGAGGATTTCCATATGTGTTAGGATTTCAACTCCGACCTGAACCCATAGCTCTGAGGCCCCCTGGTTTAGGACTAGATCAGGCTGTATATTGGTCTCGAGATGGGCTGCCCAAGGAGGTGGCCATGCAAGGTGAAGTTTTCCATGATGGCAGTGTTTTGAAACCTGGGCCCGCGGTGTACGATGCCCCCGCCTGGTCCGTGGTCAAAATCGACGAGGACGGCGACCTGGTTGCCAGTCTCGTAAGCCCTGTGGGGGCCAGCCTCCCCCCCACGTCGCCCGCTGCCGAACACCTGGGGTTTCTAGTTGCTACGTCCTGCCCCAGAGTCACCAAAGCGTGGACGGATTTCAAGGGTATCCTCTCGGTGCACCAGAGCGCCGAAGTCTCACGTAAGGAAATGTACGCAGGAGTTTCCGTTCTGGCCAGGACCCAAAGCTGCTTTGCGTCCCTCGAGACCGGGAAAGTAAAGGCCCACCAGGATCTGTCGTCCCTGGTGGTCGGCTCGAGGGACTGGTTTGTTGCCAAAGGAAATGACTGGGCGGACAAGGTGGGCAACCAAGCGGCCGCCAGAATCCCCGCCCCGTCCCAGAGAGAAATCGAGCATTATAAAGAATGCCGTAGCCAAGTTCAGAGGCTTGTGAAGTATGCTGCTGAGGCGCTTTCCTTGTGGGCCCCACTCGCTCCGAAGTCGGGCAAGCAGGCCTACGAGAAGCCCGCCCAGAGTCTCAACCCCCCAGTTGGGGCCGCGGGAGCAGTCAGCCAGTGGACTGCACCACCCCCGCCCCCTGGGGGTCGTCCTCGGCGTGCTCGTGCGTGCCGTAACCCACAGGGCGTGGCCAGACATCAGTGGGCATGGCTTACTAGTCACTGGCTGTGCCTAGCGTGTCGTACCCGCGCCCGCACGGACAGCACTCGCAAGACCCGCATGCGTGAAGAATGCCCAAGTAATTCAGTCATGCTGTCAAAATTAATTCGGGACCCCCAGAAGCACCATTTAATGATACGTGATTACCTTGATGTCGAGTCCTTCCTAGTCGTTTGTAAGAGGTGCGGCCGCTACAGCGAAAGCAACCTCAAAGGACTCAAAGGTGAATGCAAGGAGCGCTTCCAAAGCAAGTCCTCCCAAGGTGCGTGGTCCCTCCTGGCAAGCGGCCGTCATCCCAAGAGTAGTATGAAGGCCCGCTCCCGACTGTCCCTGCCCATCCCTGCGGCCCAGCTCCTCAAGGAAGGAGGGGCGACGTAGGGACGAACGCGAGCGTAAGGGGAGAGCGGATGTAACCCTCAGGTTTCGGTTAGGGTCGGGTCGGCCTAACCCTAGCCTTCCTCATTCGCATGCGATGGTCCTCCTTCTTGTCCTCCTGCTCCTCCTCCTCCTCCTCCTCCTGCTCCTCCTCTCCTCTCCTCCCCTCCTCCTCCTCCTCCCTCCTCCTCCTCCTCCTCCTCCTCTCCTCTTCCCCCTCCTCCTCCTCCTCTTCCCCTCCTCCTCCTCCTCCCCCTCCTCCTCCTCCTCCTCCTCCTCCTC